TGATTCATGCTCCTTAAATAATTTGTGAAGAGGTATGAAGAAAAGGTAGGTGCTGGTTTAGAGAAGGCACCTTGAGCAGTCACAATTTCAAACATTGTGACTGTTAACTTTGAATTGTGCCTCTTGATCACACCCGATCGAATCGTGACCGTTGATCTCATCAACGGTGATCAACGATCATCAACACACCAAAACCAGAGTAAAGTGCGCCTCTAAAGCGCCTCATTGCGCCGCACACACGCGCGTTCGAATCCCCATACTCTCCTCTACTAATTCTAGTGAGTGTAAATCAGTTGCTATTGAAATACTGAAAACAAAACTTATAATTTTCCAATGTGGGGCAAGTTCAAAACTGAGTTTTGTAAGAGAAAAACTGATTTTTTCAATCAAGTGTACATGTACAATTTCTCATGTAATTGATCAATCAAACCCATTAGATTTAATCTCTCATGAGATTAAAATCCAACAATAAAGACCTAAAGGAAAGATAATAATAATTTAAAGCAAAGAAACCAGTTGAGTTCACAACATGTAATAACTAAGAGGGAAATCCTGGCGACGTGAACACAGGAGGCTAGACATGCATGCGTCTTACTTGAGAGAGCACAGAAGATAGGATATATTATGAAAATGGGAGAAGAAATTTTAATAACAAGCTCACGGCTGAGTTTCAAAGAAAAGGTCGGCGACCGGATTTTTTGTCCTGCACATCAGGTGCCACCGGAAGGCTCCCCATCAACAAAGGTAGAAAGAATCCATCTAAATAATATTAACACCGTCGCTCAAGGCCTATTTCCCCTTTTCCCTCCGGATATGGGATGGGGCCCTTTCGTCGGTCTCGAATTCCTGGGGCATCTTCCAGCCTCTCACTCTGTTTCTTTACACATTAATCCTAAGGATGGGATCAGGCAACATTTGAATTTGATTAAATTAAGAAAAGTCATATTTTATAATCCAATTTAATCCATGATGACTAAACAATATCTAAATAAATCTGGCATAAAGTAAATGAATTGGATTGGATTCAAGTCAAATTAAATCAGATTCATTTGCATCTCTATATACAAAGAACTATACAAATTCCCAAAAATGAGTGATAGAAATCCATAAACTTAGATGGATAAATGAAAAATCCACAGGGTTAGACATGAAGTTAAACTAGGAATATTTCTAATCGATAATAAAATGAGAAAAATTAGATAAGAATTTAAATTACGAATATCTTTATTCGATAATAAAATGAGAAAAAGTAGATTGAGATAGATTGATCATGAGTATAAAAAATCGGTTAAAATTAATAAAAAATAATTTTTAGCGCCCTGTAATTTAATAAAGGGTTTCGAGTCAATACGACCATTTTTTCGCCCCTAATATCAATAAAAATAATTTTTTAAATATAATTTCTAAAAGAAAGTAACTTTTTTTTTAAAAAAAATATTAAATAAGGGCAAGAGATGGGCAAAAACACTGTTAATTGTCTCCAAACCTGTGAAACAACCCCCTCCATCTCTGACGTCCATTTTCTCTCTCTCTTTGGCCCTTCCTCTTCTTCTTCCATCTTTGGTCTTCGATCCTGTTTGTCGTCTTTTGACAATAAACATCTTTCAGCAGCGATGTTTCCTAAACATTTAACGGACCCCCTATTCTCAGTCCTCTACATTGGTCAAATAGAAATCACGGTGACACCCAGAGCTTGCGGTTGTCTTCTTCTTGGTTTCAGACAAATCTTTGACTAGGCGACAGTTTCTTCTTGCTGAGCTTCTATTCATAAATGGCTCACCATTGTCGATTGAGCAAGTAGACCCTATCCCCTTAAACGTACAGCATACGTTTGTTCGATCACTAGAGGCAGAAATGAACCATTGCAGAGTTATCCTCTAAAAGCCATGGCCAACGATGAACACATTCATTATTATTATCTTTTGTTTCCTTTATGTTTTAATATTTCTTCCTTAAAAGAGGAGAAAGAGACCAGAGGTGGGGGAGATTTGTCACCCATGTTCGATGGTTCAGGAAGAGGAAGGAGATGAATAATATCTCTTATCCTTATTTAATATTTTTTTTCAAAAAAATGATTGTATTTTACAAATTATATTAAAAGGATTAGAAAAAAAAAGTTACTCTTATCAATTATAATCCCTTTAATAAATGGATATGACACCGAATAGAAGGTGAATAAAACAGGATTTATGTAGCCGATCCAATATAGTTGGGAGTTAGGACAAGGGACAAGGCTTAGATGATGATGATGGCATGCAAAGAACCAAACAATGTCCAGCAAACGTGGTCGAAAAACAAGCCCAATTCATAATCATTCACTTCATGGCTAAAGGTGAAAAGAATCAGGCACCACTTGGCCTGAGAAATGTTGTCAAACAAGAACCATATCCCAGCAGATTTTCTCTTTGAGCCATCTTTTGCTTATTGGGTTCTTAAAGAACCAGACAGACAGTCTGTCTTTAACAGGTGCAAACAAAGCAAAGAGGTCCATAACTTTCTGCTAAAGGCATGGTTTATAACTATACACAAGTCAGTGAGTCACGAGCCTGCACTCCTTGCTTTAAGTAAGYTTCTTTCTTCACCATACTTCCAAAATATCTGAAAACGTTAATTCACAGATAAGAAAACAAACCCACTCGTAGAAGATTTCTTGCAAAAAGCCTACAACGACCATAATTAAGAGTTCGGCTTCAGTCAGGGCAAAGCCCATTAGAGCAGCCTTTACAGCCATGCTTTGGGAGGAATATCTCCCTCCTTATGTGCTTTATTTCATAATATACATTGAGACGCATAAGATATCCATTGCTTCTACTGCAAATAGATCTCCATGGATGATTTGTCTGGATGATGAGCTCCAGAGAAAAAATACCTCTGTACTATGTTTTTACAACAGACCCCAGAATTCCCAATCTTACAGTTACACTGCTCATTTCAAGACCACAACATAAATAATACAGGACTTGAAAGGGAAGAGGGGACTCTCTCTCTCTCACTGTAATTCTATAAACGTCTCAATATCATTACTTATGTGTTTATACCCATTAAGACAAAGCCTACAACTTAATGACTGAGAGCAACAGCTGCCTCCTGCACCAATGGGTGAGTTGCAGTCACAAAGTGCTCGGCCTCCCTTTCCACCTGCTCCCAACATCGGTTTCCACTCTTCCCTTCGTTCATCTTCTTCACAAATGCCACAAATTTTCTCCAGTTATCGGCCTGGAACAGGTTGGGGTTCATTCGCAGATACGTGAAAGCACACATCTCTCTTCCGTCGTCCTTGCCATCGTTCAGATTCAACGAGGCTGCATGCAGAATCTGCAGGTGTGCCATCTCGTCATACCGTGGCAATGCATTCTCCCCTGCAAGTGGAACCCCAGCCTCTCTTGTTGCCAGAACCACCTGCCGGACGAGCTTCTCTGGTGCACACTGTGCGTCCTGGGGCTGCTCATAGTCCCGCATCTCAATGCAGGTGAAATTGAAGATGGTGCCATGGCGTGCCAGCATGCGCGCAATGGGGAGGTACCCATCTCGGAACCTGGTGTTATAGTACCCTGCTGTGAGCTCCGCGGCATGAGAACGGGTCCCATAGTGCCAATGGATGCCTGCAACCTTCGCTGAAATCTTGACGCCGGTGCCSTGGAAGATGGATTTAGCTGACGAGAGTATCGCCTCCCCGTGGTCTAGGAGCATTTGAGAGTACCAAGTGAGGAAGAATTCACCGTAGGGACTGTTCCAACCGCCGCCTTCTTTGCGGAAGAACTGGGTGCCCTCCGGCCAGCTGTTGTAGTGGCCAGCATCTGTAGGGCCACCGTGCCCCCATTCGGGCTTCCCAACAGCTTCGGCAGCAGCTTTTAAGCTACTGATCATGTACTGCATTAATCCACAAAGATCAATATGAGATCACTGATTTTGTAAACTGAAAGTAATTCATGGAGATAGAGGATCTCATACCTTGTCAAAGCACTGGAACGCTCCAATTCCTGGGAATCTCCATGTCCCATTCTGCTCTGGATATGATGGGTAGCGGAGCTCCCCTGCCGGACCCATTCCTACTTGGATTTCCTGCACAAAACATGAAAAGGTGAGCAAACAGAATGCTTTAAGGGATATCCAACAGATCCCAAATCAGGACACACCATGGAGTACAGACCCATCTCCATGGCAGAAATGAAAATCAAAGAACTCGGATGAATAACGAGGAGGAATCAGTTCCATTACCACGACGGTGTCACCAAGAAGGTGCTTGAAGTTATCCCTGAAAGCACGCATTAAGTCGGCATAGCACTGAACGGGCGTTCGGCCCTTGAGCACCGGAAGGTTGTCGCAGCCGAGGGAGACGTATTCGTAATTCCGCCTTCCCCATTGATCCGTGTATGCGAGATCTGGATCCTTGTTTATCTCCTCCACTACCCACCTAGGCAAAGGAATTCTGCACCGAAAAATTAGCACAGAAAGATAAACGTCAGAAAGAAAACAGAGCCGAAACAGAACACAATCGGAACTCATAAGTGATGTAGAACAAGAAATTAAGGCCTGTTTGTTTCCTGGAAGGAATGATTTTAATCGAAAAATGGAAAATCGGCCTAACTTGGCAACGAATCAGCTCAGTCCAAACACATTATGACATGTGACTCCGCCAACGAATCTGCATTTAGTAATTAGTAACGAACTCAAAAAAGTGCCGAACACAAGAAAGTGTTCGCTTTTCAACCGTCGGATTAGTGTGAGAGACGATTGTGCCAGCACAAAGTCCAATCTGACGGTAAAGAACCGACGATGACGTAAGAAATCTCGTACCGGATCTAAATCTTTCAGGATAAATCCGGAAAAGCAGGAGTTGCGTATGTGGACGTTTACTAACTGCCGTTATAACGTGAGTAACGGTTGGGAAGCTCCGTTGCACCTTTAAAAGGATTTTCACCAAACTATTAAAACGCCGTTATATATGATTTAACGGTCACGTTAAATAGTGAACGGAAATTAGGATGAAAGATTATCGAGAAAACCCAAATTCTTGGAATATTTCCGAAAACAAAGGAAATAGATTCCAGATTATTCCGCTAGCTGCTAGCAGAAAAATCAAAAAATTAAAAAAAAAGGTATAGGATAAGGGGTAAGGAGCTAAAGTACGCACGTGCAGGAGTCACCAACGTTGCCACCGCACTGATGGAAAGACATAACGGCCTGAACCTTGAGGCCGTGTTTCCGAGCCATCTCCAGGAGTTCGGTGTAGCCACCCCAGTTGTACGCGCCGGGCGCGTCCCTCTCGACCAACCCCCACCAGACATCCATCATCACCCCTTCCACCCCGGCGCTCTTTAGCGCCATCATGCTCACATTCATCGCCTTCCTCCTGTTCACCCCATTCGACATCGTCACACTGTCCAACGGCATCATCACGTAAACCGGCACCCCTTTCCCCCTAACCTGCGCACTACCCGCCCCTCCCTCTCTGTACTCCCTCACTTCCCTCCCTACTCCTATCTCCTCCTCCTCCATCGCCGTCTCCGTCACGTCCGCCGCGAACGCCTGACACGCCACGGACATGCCCGCCCCAATCCCTCCTCCGAACACCGGCGACAGACAGGGACTTAATGGTGGGGATAGTGCGTCCTTCTCGGGCCCCTGTTTCTGAATTCTGCACCGTAGATTTGTTGGCTGCGCCGGTGTCTTCCAGACAGCCGATGCACTCACTACCGCTGTCTGATCGGATGGCCCATTCCCGGATTCCACTGGTATCGGCGTCCCCGACAGGGCACCGATCTGGTGTGTGATACTCAACGCCATTCTCTGCAAAAATTCAAGAAACCGCAGAAACAATAGAGAAAGCTACAGTGATCGAAATAGAGATCAGAGAGAGCAAGAGAGAGAGAGAGAGACGGGATAAGAGAAAATTCTTCTTCTTCTAGTTGCTTTGTGACTTGTGAGAAGAGGTTTCTGTTGTGGTCGTTATTCGTGTCAAGCTGGTTCTGAAGGTGGGAGGCGGAGGTCTACCGAGCTCTTCGTTATATAGAAAAATGAGAAAATCGTAAGAAGATTATTTTAGCCCTTTATTTGATTGCCACGTGGCAAGGATGCAACGTGGCAAGTAATGTATGAGGCCAGAGGCTACGGCTATGATTTCTCAAAGTGAGTATAGATGGACGGCGGGATATTAATTGGACCGAAGGTTCGAGGTTTTGTACGCGGTTCTGAATCTTGTGTACCGAAACCCTCATTCAGTGAATTGAAGACACGTAGTACACGAGTCACGTGTTGAGTTGCCTTCATGTAAAGAAAGTTGCTAGCTTGCTGCTGCTACTGCCCCCAGGTTTGTCATTTATTGAGTTGTATTTCACGCGAAATTGCGTGAGAAAATAATATTTTTTAGAGTAAATATTTATTTTTATCTGGATGTGGGTGACGTTGAAGAAGATTACGGGCAGATGGGCGTGATCGTGCCACGTTGCGAGTGGGTAGTCGTATTGTAACACGTTAGACGTTACGTAGTTGGGGGGAGCGAGATTAGTGAATGGTGTTAACGTTTAAAGGAGGGTTTGTTGGGTCAATTAGCGAGGAGTGTAAGCAATAGATCTGGAGGGTTCTCTGATTGGGGGGGGTGGATGGATCACCATTGACATGATTGGGTTGGTGGAGCCAAGCTTTGAATCTGAGATGCAATGTGGGGTCCTATCTACAGGCACCGCCGAAATGGAATCTTGTGGTTGTGGTTGTGTGAGAGTGATGGAATTTGGAACTTGGATTGAAGGTTGCAGATGGCAAAAGTCTAAAAGAGGTGGGAAAGTGTTGGGGAGGTTTTAGAAATTTTTTAAATTGAAACAAAATGATTATTTTACATGTGGAGGTGTCGAAGGAGGTCGAATTCACTTTTTTAAGTTTTAAACTTTTCAAAGCATGTGAATTCATTTGAGTGTTTGAGGCCCGTGTTACTGCCTCGAAGTAGAGGTGTAAATCGGGCCGGGCCGCCTGCGGGTCAATACGGCCTGGCACGATTTTGGACCAGTCCGGCTTGGCAAGATAGCCCATAGGCTGTGTCTGGCATGATAGTCCTGGGGTTTGAAGTCTACGGGTCGGCAAGGCATGACATGGCATAGGCCGATGGCACAGTCCAGCATGGCCATGTATACTATTTATATATATTTTATATATACATAATATTTATATATAATATATAATATATTATATAAAATTATAATTATATAACAATATATAGTATATAATATATTAATAAAATAAACAATTTTTTTTCTATTTAATTATACTAATTTATTTAATCATTGTATATAAGCAATTGTATACATCAAAATTCATAAAAAAATAAAATTTTAAGTTTTTTTTTTCAATTTTTTTAAATAAATAGGCAAAAATAGCTTTGGCTCAGTCCATGGCCTAACTTGGGCCAAGGCTTGGCCTACGGGCCAGCCCGACCCACGGCAAGGCACGAACCCATGCAGGCCTGGGCCGTGCCAGGCCGACTTCCAAAATTTTCACCGGGGAGGGCGTCACGGCCCGTACTTTCCCACTTTACACCTCTACCTCGAAGTATATGACGAAGTTTTACAATTAAACATGTTCAGTTCATGGTTTTTAAAACCGAGCCGAAGACCAAACTGGTCAGGGTCCAGTTACTGGGTCGAGCGGTCCGACCATTCTGACAAAAAAAAATTAAAAAAATTTAGGAAAATAAAAAACAATCAAAACTGTTCGAACAATTAACCACCCAGCTCAGTAGTTTGTTGACCAAAACCAATGGTTTTTTGAGAAATCCTAGTTTTGGGGAAGAATGAACCGGTTCCTAATTTTTCCGGTCCGACCGTCCGGTCCAATCCAGTTTTAAAAACCATGGTTCAGTTTTTATCAAACAACCTTTAAGGTGATGTTTGGCATTCATGTTGATTCTTATTGATTTTTTTAAAAATCATTATTATTGTTTAGTTTTTTCAAAAAACAGTAAATTTTGTTATTTAGTATTATTTTTGTTATGTAAGCCAATTTTTGAGAAATCGATTTTGAGTATGTTTGGTATTGATTCTCCAGGATTGATTATTTTTGTAGTAGCGTTATTCTTTACCATATTAGGTGTTATATCATCCTCAAAAAATCGGAATTAACTAGAAATGAGGAAATCATTAAAAAAATGTGATATTTAAAAATGATTGATTTCAAGAATCGGTTTTTAGCCAATTTTCTGAAAATCACCAAAATTGACTAATCAAACAGAAATTTCAACACCGATTCCGAATGTTGGATGACACGTTCATCCATTCAATCCCCCACTTGCTTTTTGAAAGACATTTAGAGGTTGTCATGGTAATGCCCAAGAACTAGGCTGATGAGGAGCCAATTGCGGCAGCAATCCTGCAATTTRGTTAAGTATAGTCCGGCCAGATGTGGACAGGCTTATCTGAGTGGAGGGCTACCCTGAGTGATCGGCCAGAGTTTAATCTCTAACCTAATCTTAAGCCAGACTGGTAGTTAATTTACTTTGATTTGAAAGAAAAGGTAAAAAATGAAAGGGATTGATAGAGAAATTTATATAAGATTTGTAAAAATTTTCCTACCGTTCTCTTTCTTTCCCTTCATTTTCCTCCAAATCAAACACAACCAAAGAGTAAAGWCAAAGCATATATAACAAAATTAGCAGGTTTTTCTAGCAATATCACATATGAAATGCAATCACATATAAACATTGATGGCCAACTTGAACAATTTATAGGGTGCTATGTCATGAAACCAAAATTGGGGCCCACATTGCCAGAATCTGGCTATTTGCGAAATTGGAATCACATACAAAAAAATACCATCATATGCGTTTCTCTTTAACTTAAATCAATTTTGTTCTTTTCTGGTAGAATGCTATATATATTTGGGTAGGCAAATAGACTATAAAAAGTTAAAAAATCCTTCAATTCAGGAATTCGGGTTTTGTCTTTACAAAATGGTCATTACACCGTCCTCACAGTTAGGGCTGTTCACGGGTCGGGTTGGGTCGGTTTATTGTGGTTTTTYCAACCGATCTGATATAGTTGGGTTATCTGACATTGAAATCAAAACCGACCCAGTGTTAAGTAAAATCGACCTGGTTTGTTTGAGTCGGGTTGGGTTGGTTTCAGTTCTAAGTTCATCCCTGTGATAAAAATCTTGCTAATTTTAAAAACAGTCATAAATTGAATATCATTTCAGCCATCTCCTATGATAAAACTTAAATGAAAAGTTAATCACAAAAGTTGTTCATTAATCAATATTCACTAATCCAAAGTTTCTTGCAACCATTCAAAAACTAGGTGGCCTAAATGGGCTTTGGAACTTCATGTTTGAACTAGGAACTAAGTCGGTTCAGTTCGGGTCGGTTTCGGTTTTCTTGTATGAAAATCGAAACCAATCCGAATCATCGGTTTAGGAATTTGCACAACCCGAAACCGACCCGTGCTTATARAAACCCGGCCAACTCAAGTTGGGTCGGTCCGGATTGGTCGGTTTGGTCGGGTTAGGCCTTCTTATGAACAGCCCTACTCACAGCCCCTTACAGCTGTGCGCATTGGAAATATCTTCTTATGAATAAAAATATTTAAACATTGGGAATATCTTTTTATGAATAAAAATATATAAGCAAGGATCAAAATTTCAATACACCTGTTTATAGTTGTTTTGGGTTCCTTTCTTTTAATAAAAAATATATTTAGAACCAATTTTTGAAATAAAAAATTAAAAATAAAACACAAACGTATTGATACTTTGAACCATGCATATAAGTATAGAAATGTTTTCAATGCAAGGCTGCAAAAGGCTGTAAARACGGTGTGAAGACAAAATTTGAACTCATGACCCAAGACCCAAAAGTTGAGATGGTCACTTGGCATTCTTCTAAAATTTAAGGTGTGGGTGTGGGATCAAACCGTCGTAGAACGAGACACTCTGAGTTGGGATCTCCTTGCAACATAAACCATCCCAATATAATTCCAACGTGATCTATATTCACCGACCTCACCAGATTTAAAATTCGAATTCAGATCTGCACTCACAAGGGGGTGCCCCAAAACGTCCCACAGTACATCCCTCTGTGTATTGGGAATATCTCCCGATGATAATATTAGAAATGATAATGTCATCATTGAAAGATGTTTCGAATACACAGTGAAGATGTGTTGTGGGAGATTGTGCGGCACCCATGTGAGGCACAGATGTGAACTCTAAAATTCACCATGTATGAGATGTGCGGATGTTGTAACTTGTTGATTTTTTTTGTTGGGAGGAATGTCAAAAATCTTGGAGATGGGTTTTTTATGGCAAACCCCCTATACGTAGCGTTATATATCACATGTACGTGATATTTGAACTGGGCCTTGGTTGTACAAGTGAAAACCTAGCTCAACCCATTCAATGCAGTAAGATTGGGCCCATCCAAGAGCTGCAACGGCTCCTAGAAAATCTATAATACACGTCAACCTGATTAGAAATTTAAAGAACCTGATTCTAAGCCAAAGGGGTGGCAAGAAAGACTCTGGATCTCTTGTCCATGAGAACTCTGCCCATGTCTACTCACAACATACTATCCCCGTGAATTGAGAACATCTCCCCCTACATAATACAATGCAGAGGTTGAGATGTTCTCCATGTGTGGCTGCGAAAAACGTGAACAGAGTTTGTGGGCAAGAGATCCCGACTTGGCAAGAAAGGCCGCATTGAAAATAACTTGTAAGAGGAGGGCAAATAGGAAGTGTGGTATGCTGAGGAGATAGCTAAGGGGGTGAGGCCGTGAGGACATATCCAGCTCGTTCCCTCTACTTGAAAAAGTGAGATTGAGCACTTGGGATTTCCTACTCACTTTTCCTACCCACTCTCTACCCATGGTGAGCCACACATCTCTATTATGAATTGAAAGATGTGTGGCTGCAATTCATGGCAAGTAGAGAGTGGGTAGGAAATCTGGACTTAGATCAGTCGTTAATTTAAGGCCCTGTTCGCTTTTTGGTAAATTATTTACCCAGGT